TCGGACTGACCGGGGGGGCAGTGCCGGCCTTCTCCACTGTGGTGGAACCGGCGGATCCGCTCCCGCACCCCGGGGGGGCCATGCCGGCCTTAACCTTGTTGTTGTTGTTGTTGTTGTTGTTGTTGTTGTTGTTGTTGTTGGTTGGTTGTTGGTTGTTGGGTATTGTTGTTGTCGTCCCACCCGCGACCCACCCGCGACTCACCTCGCGCGACCACCCGACCCGACCCACCCGCGACCCACCCGCGACCACCCCGCGACCCACCCGCGACCCACCCGCGACCCACCCCGCACCCCCGCGAGCCGCCCGCGACCACCCCGCGACCCACCCGCGACCCACCCATCCACGACGCACCCGCGACCCACCGCGACCCAGCCGCGACCCACCCGCGACCCCCCCCGCGACCCACCTGAAAATTTTCGGCGCCTGCGGCGGGTTTATTTTGCAGTCAATCCAGGTGGAGAACCTGCGACCCAAACCGCGTTCAGTGTACAAATCAATTTTTTCGGCGCCTGCGGCGGGCTGTGTTCGAATTCCTTCCAGGTGGAGGTGGACAGCCCGCGACCCACCCGCGACCCAAACTACGTTCATTGAGCAAACCAAAACTTCGGCGCCTCCGGCGGGTTTCTCTTGCATCGGCGACCCACCCGCGACCCGCCAGCGACTGTCGGGTTGCCGAGGCGGCGGCCCTCTGGGGCCTCGGTCGTTTCGCTTGAAGCTTCCCGCGTGGCGTCGGGCCCCGTGGGATTTGGCGCTTTGGAGCTGTCTGCGGGGGCCGAGGGCCCCTCCGAGGCCCGCGCGTCGGCGGGCCCTGATGGGGCCGCCGCCGACGACGGGGAACCGCCGCCTCTAGCTACCGAGGGCCTCGAGCGGTTCCTGGCTTCCAAGCGGGCGAGGTTCAGGGCGGAGGGGGGGCGTTGGGACGAGGACCTCGAGGAGGCGCCGGGGCGGCTGGCCAAGGCCGCCCGCCCCGGAGACTCCGAGGAGCCCCCTCCCCCTGCCTCCCCGCGCGCACACCAGGTCGGGGGGGGCCGTCGTCGAGGACTGGTCCTCGGGCGGGCCGCGCCCGAAGGCCCCTCGGCCCTTGGCCCCGCCTCCTGCTAGCGGCCCTGGTGCCCCCCTACCCCCCCAGCGGCCCTGGTGGGCTTCCGTCCTGCAAGAGGGCTCGGGCCTCTGGGGGTCCGCGGCGGGGGGGTTTTGGGCCTCGCGTGCTGTCCTCCCAGGCGCCCCCCTTCCTGCTCAAGGCCCTGTCGGGCCCAGTAGCTCACGGGGGCATCAGGTCTGCCTTGTTGGGGGCAACCGTTGCATTCTGCCTTCGCTGCGGCGCTCGGGTCCAACCGTCGGCCTCTCGGTCGGGGCCCTTGGGCCACTGAGGGCATTGCATCCAGTGAGGATGCCACCTGCCCTAGGTCCCTCAAGGTGGGCAATGACCCCATCACGGGGGAGTGGCGGGGGGACCCCTGCCCACTTCTCTCTTCTGATGATGCATGTTGTTGGCTTCGTCTTAGATAGCCCCCCTCTGGGTTATTTTCCTCACCGTCGCGTTGCGAGCGATCGTCATTTTTCCTGCTCTTTGCCCGTCTTTGCTGCTGCTCTGCGCACTCGTTTTCAGTCTGGTCGCGCTTCATATTGTTGGTTTCCCGCTGGTCTCGGAAGCTCCGCCACCGCTGCGCGATGCCGCAATGAGGTAGCAAAAAGGGAACAGTTCATCGAGCAGGGGGTCCGCCATGACCCAACCCTGCGACGACCAGACAAAAGGCACCGACTTCCCAACTCATGTCTTACTGCTGGGATTGATGCCATTCTTGAGTTTGGTTAAACTCCCTGAAGCGTGGCGGCTACCAGGGCCCCAAGACACTTAGCATTTAGATTGTGGGACCGAGCCCCGCCGTAGGCCCCGCAACGCGAGCACCAACCGACGCTGCCCCCCATCAGGCACATTCTAGGTGTCCTGCGGCTGCACCTGGCAACCCTAGGCGGGCCACCACAGGGGAAAGCACAAACCGCTGCTCGAGACCTTCCTTCCTCACCGCAGGCCAGACATACAGAGGCTGATTTGCCGACTTCGTCCACGGCGTGCCCCTTGGGATCGGGAGCCAGCTAAAGAAGACACGGCCTGGGCCGTCGAGGCCGTCGGAACCGAGCCCATCAGGAAAGGACCCCGAGCTAAGCCCATCCATAATTTCGGCGATCATCCATGCCGCCTCTCGCGCGCGCGGGAGACGATCGTTGCGTCGTTGCCCAGCGTGGGGGCTAAACGGCTGGAGGCGGGCACCTTTCTTGGCCAGCTCGTCCGCCTTGCCGCCCCCCCTCCACCGCCATTTATCGATCCTGCGCACACGGGGCTGGTGGAGGGACACGTGAGACTCTATCGTGCTAAAGTTGGTCCTATCTATCCCTACCGATGTCCCCGCTGGCCCTGAAGATGTCAACCCAAAACTCCGAGAAGGCAACTTTCTCAAGGTTCTGTGAGGACCCCTCATTCCAGGCCGAGACAAGCATAGCGCAACCGGTCGCCACTTCCATGAGTTCTGGGTCTGCTAGGCGCAAGCACATGAGCAGAACATACACCTCCCCACAGCCAGCCACCTGAACCGCATGTGGGAGTGGGCCATATGCCGACCCTTGGATCCAGCCTCCAAACTCATCGCCAAACACGGAAATCGCATCCCACCCGGCCCTGGAGAATTGCGGCAGTTCTCGGTCCAGACCAGACCCATCGGTACACATCTTGGTCCCGAGCACACCCCTTGGCGGCACCACTTCCCACATGTGGCCAGCAACTGTGTACGGCGCAGGCTACATATCAGGAGCCGCAGCGAGGCCCCTGGACAATAGGAGTTCTGTTTGCTCTCCTCCGGGCTCGCCAAGGATGTTCAAGATTTCCAGGTCTTTTCCCACAACAGCAGAGAAGTCGCAGCACGCAAACCTATGCATCGGAGTTCCGACAGCAGCACGACAGGCCTAGCAGAGCGGGTCCACCACTCGCCGATCATCAAATAGCTGGAGCTGGGTTGGGTATCCTCTTGGGGCCACTCCTGCCAACCCATTAGTCGCAGCAAACCTCCCTTGCTTCCTCAATTCCCCAAGAACATCTATGACCGGCCTCAGTAATGCTTCTCTCGAAGTCCTGGAACGCGAACCCCATCCCCAATATTGGCCAAGATCATGTCACGGACGCTGTGGACCAGCGCCATCCTGAGGGATCGGCATCCTAGCTCTAACACGTTCACATCCACCCCAGCTCACGTGCGGAACACATTCCAGTCAAGGATGTGCCAGCCGAGTCTCTCAGCGGCGAGCACCACCGCTCCTGCTGGCCCGCGGACGTCCTGCCACCCGCGTTCCTGCCCTGACTTCCGTGGGATTCACGAAAGCTAGCTTGCACGACTCTGTGCTCGACCCATTCCTGCCGCGCCGCCTGGCCCCACGTGAGGATGGGAATCAGATGTACATCGTATGTGGGATCAGCTTTGGGGTCCACTGGCAGTGGGGGAACTCGAGTGCTCGGCACCTTCCCTTGGATGCCCCAAACAGTGCTTGCCCGAGCGTACTGCGTAGCTGCATCAACCTCGCTGTCGCCATACCCTGCACACGACATCCAGAAGTAGCTGACGCCAAGCCCCCAGACTTCGCCACCCTGCACATGCCCTTGCGGGGACTCCGAAGTCCCCTTATACGGCTACCACGGGCCCGAAGCTTTTGCAGGCGCTTCCCAAGAGTCTGGGGCCTTCGGGAGCCTTTTCTGCATAGTCCGATCGACTCCCAAGTTGCGTCCACAGTGTGCCCTTTCAAAGTTCCACTTGCGTAGCATGCGTACGATGGTGACCCTGGTCGAGGAATGGCTGCTGAGCACGAGTCTTTTCGACTGTGATATAACCAGGTGCAACCGCTCGAGCAGCGTACACAACAAGATCGCGGCCCGAGGCAAAACTCGCTCGACATAATTGGTATGCCCTGCTGCTAATGCTGTGTCGTCGTCGACGACGTTATACAACGACACGCTAGGAAATAACTCTTTGACTGTATCAATAGGTTCTGTCAGCATCAGGGCAAACAGAGACGTGGCGAAACCATAGCCGGCAAGAATCCCTTGCAAGGCTACGACAGGCTCCCCTCACGCCCAGTACTTGCACAATACGCCTGCCTCGATACAAGGAAAGGAGGAGGCGCAATTTGGTGAGGCCGAAGCCATACCTGACCGCAGCCTGGGCTAACCAGAAGTGGCAGACCTTCTCGCAGGCCTTTGTCAAATCGATGAGCACAGAACCGGCACAGCCTCCTACACTAAGATGCTGTTCCGCTCCTATGCTCTGCTCCCACGCCGCCCGCTCACAATTACGACCAGCAATCCCGTAGTGGTACGGTTTGCGATTATCACGCTCCCAATGTTTAACCTCACGCCTCGACAGCTTGGAGAAGACCCGCGATGGAGTGGGGAGCAGAGTGATAGGTCTGAAACCACCGCCTTCAGGCTTACCCAGCATCGCGAGGATCGTGGTCAGGAGGAGGGAGGGGTACGCACCAAGAACGTTCATCTTGTGCCACAGATTCCCAAGAATGTTCAGGAGCCCGTCAGTGGCCTTGTCTAAGTCCCTGGGCCTCAAGCTGTCGATCCCTGGAGCCGTTCGCTTCCGAACCTTCCGAATAGCACCACGGATGTCCTGGACAGATCTGGCAGGCATGCAGAGGTCCGGGATATCCACTCCCTGAGCCTGAGCCGTCCGCTGGATTTGCCCCGTGAGGAACTGGACCGGGTCGGGGTACTTCGTGACTCCTTCCTGGGGCTCCCAGATCTTGCGCCAATACGCCGTGAGGGCATCCTCTTGGCCCTGGGGCCCTAAGGCGGCCTCCTCCTCCTTCTCCTCCTCCTCCTCCTCCTGAGAAGGAACAGGAGGAGAGGCAGGAGCAGCAGGAGGAGCTGGAGGAGAAGGAGGAGGAGGAGGAGCTGGAGCGCAACGTCTCCCGCCCGCCTCCCCCCCCGCCCTCCGGCAGCCCCGAGGCCAAACCCGCCGCGTCGTGCGCGGAGGGCGGACACGGCGGCGCGTGCTCTGCGGCCGAGGGCGCGGGCCTCGGGGGTCGGGTCGGACGGAACGGGGGGGGGGTCAGGGGAATGGGGGGGAACCAGAGTTGGAGGAGGAGGAGGAGGAGGAGGCAGGATGAGCTGGAGGACGGGGGCAGGAGGAGGCAGTACGAGGAGGAGGAGGAGGAGGAGGAGGAGGAGGAGGAGGAGGAGGAGGAGGAATGTCCGTCCGTGCGCGAAGCCTGTCCGGGGGCTGGCGCAATCCATCAACGCTCTGCGCCAGCCCCCCGAGGACGATCGCTGCCTGGCGCCCAAGCCGCCAAGCATCGGCCATCCCCCGGGGGGGAGAGGTTGCGCTGGCTGGGGCCTCGAGACTCCGCTACCTGGGAGCGCCGCAACGACCGCGAGGTCGGTGTAGCGGCGCTTCTCGAAGCCCCTCCCCCCTGGGGCGCTAAGCGGGGCCGCGTGCGCCCCGTGCCTGGGCCGCCAGGGCGGGCTACTCCTCCAGCGGGCGCGGAAGGGGGAGGATTACGAACACTGCTGCGTGCAGCTGGTTTCTCGGCCCCGCCGCCGGGCGCTTTCCTCGATGTATTGGTGCCTGCGGCGCCAGGAGGCGCCAGGAAAACTGGCCACGTGAGCTGATTCGCTCAAACCCCCTCCTTTGCTATCCCCCCTTTCGTCTGACCCGAGGGGGCGCGCGGCATCCTCCAGACTCCGACGATCTCTGTTTTCAATCCTGGCGGGTTTCCCTCGATTTCGCATCGGCAGGCGCCCGCGCGGGAGGAGAGCACCGCCGTGGCACTTCCAGAGGGGGTGTGCCCTCAAAGACGGCACCCCCAGATCGGCGTCCAGGGCCCGCTATCGGCTCCTAGGACCCTCAAGCCTGAACCCGCGACGAAGAAGTATCACAGAGGAATGGATCGGGACCTTTGGCGCCGCGCACTGAAACAAAAACACATCGTCGTGCAGTTGGGCTTGGCGAGGCCTTTTCCTCCTCCTCCTCCTCCTCCTCCTGCCTCCTCCTCCCATCACCACCATCATCACCATCATCACCACATTCCTCCTCCTCAGCATCATCACCACCACCATCACCACCACCGCCTGCTCCCTCATCATCACCACCATCATCACCACCATCAACGAAAGCGCGCCACTGGATCACCGTGTAGTTGAAAAGGGGGGGGGTCCGAACCCCCCCCCTCCCTCCTTTCAAAGGGGGGGTGGGATTTTCGACCCCCCCCCCCTCCCCCCTTAAAAACGGGGGGGTCGGACCCCCCCCCTGCCCCCCTTTTGAACAGGGGGAGGGGGTCCGGACCCCCCCCCTATTTGGCGCTGGAAAGGGGAGGGGGGGGTTCGAACCACCCCCCCTCCCCCCTTTTGCGCCGAACAGGGGGCCGGGGAGAGGGCCTCTCCCGCAAGGGGGTGGGTTCAGGCCTCGGGATAGTGAGTAGTGAGTAGTGGGTAAATTGTGGTGAGTAGTGTGTAGTGAGCAGCGAATAGTGGGTAGTGAGTAGATAGTAGCGAGTAGAGATGAATGTGGAGTGAGTAGTGAGCAGTGTGTAGTGAGTAGTGAGTAGTGGGTCGTGGGGACTTGGGTTGTGAGTAGTGAGTAGCGAGTAGGGAGTAGTGAGTAGTGAATAATGAGGCGCGAATAGGGCACTGTGAGTACTGAATAGTGGGGAGGGAGAAGTCAATAGTGAGTAGCGAGTAGGGAGTATCGAGTACTGAATAGTGAGTTGTCAGCAGGAAGTAGGTAGTAGTGAGAAGTGAGACGTGGGTATTGAGTATTGGGCACTGGGTATCGCGTAGGGAGTAGCGAGTAGGGAGTAGTGAGTACTGAGTCGTAAATTGTGAGTTGTGAGTACTGAATACTGAGTAGTGAGTAGCGACTTGTGACTGGTGGCTAGTGAGTAGTGGGTAGTGAGTAGTGAGTGTGGAGTAGGGAGTAGTGGGCAGTGAGTAGTGCGTAGTGGTGAAAATTGCGCAGTGAGTAGGGAGTAGTGAGTAGTGCGGAGGGGGTAGTGAGTCGTGAGTAGAGAGTAGTGAGTACTGAATAGTGAGTAGTGAGAAGTGCAGCGACTTGTGACTAGTGATTTGTGGGTAGCGGGTAGGGAGTAGGGGTTACCGAGTAGGGAGTAATCGGTAGTGAGCAGTGAGTACTGTGTAGGGAGTAGCGAGTAACGAGCAGCGGATAGTGAGTAGTGAGTTGTGGGCAGTGAGTAGTGAGTGGTGAACTGTGAGTACTCAGTAGTGAATTGTGGGTAGTGATTAGTGGGAAGTGAGTAGTGATAGTGATTAGTGAGTAGTGGGCAGTGAGTCGTATTTAGCGAGTAGTGAGAAGTGAGTACTAGGTAGTGAGTAGTGAGTTGGGAGTTGTGAGTAGGGAGGAGTGAGTCGTGAGTAGTGGGAGCGTAGTGCGTAGTGAGTAGTGGGTAGTGAGTGGTGCGTATCGGGTAGCGAGTAGCGTGTAGGGAGTAGCGATCAGTGAGTGGTGAATAGTGAGTATTGTGTAGTGAGTAGGGAGTAGCGAGTTGTGTATAGTGAGTAGTGAAGTGTGAGTAGTGACTAGTAGATGGTGGTTAGTGGGTAGTGACTAGTGATTTTTGAGTTGTGGGTAGTGATTAGTGGGTAGTGAATAGTGGATAGTGGTTAGTGCGTAGTGGGTAGTGAATTGTGTTTAGTCTGTAGTGAGTATTGAGTAGTGGATGGTGAGTAGTGAGTAGGCAGTAGTGAGTAGTGGGTAGGTGGCAGTGAGTAGTGGGTAGTGAGTAGTGGGTCGTGTGTAGTTTGTAGTGAGTACTGAGGAGTGAGTAGTGGGTAGCGAGTAGTGAGTAGTGAGTAATGCGTAATGAGTAGTGAGTACTGTTTCGGGCTCGGGTTAGGGTTCGGGGTACGGGTTGGGGGTTTGGGCAGGGCTGAAGATTAGCGTTAGGGGTGGTAGGGGTCGGGTTCCGGAGCCCAGGGGCGCCGTGGCGAAAGGGGGCAAGGGGGAGGGGGGTCGAATTTGGCGGCCAAAGGGGGGGAGGGAGGGGGGGGTTCGGACCCCCCCCCCTTACGAAAGGGGGGGAGGGGGGAAGGGGATTCCCCGACGACGGATCGGGAAAGGGGGGGAGGGGGGGGGTTCCCCGACGACGGATCGGGAAAAGGCGGGGGGGGGTCCCCGACGACGGATCGGGGAAAGGAAGGGGGGGGGGTCCCAACCCCTCCCCCCTTGGGGAGATCCAGCGACGCACCCTCCACATCAACACTTCCGTCCTCGCCGCCACCACCATCACCGCCAGGGGCGACGGCGGGCCGCGCTGGCGCGGGCTTCCGCGGTTTCGGACCGGCGGGAGGCGTTGTTCCACCGGCGGAGTGGCCCTCGTTCTGCTTCCCGCCGGCCTCCCGGCTGGCCTTCCGCCCTGGACGAGCGCCTGCGCCCGCGCCGATCCCCCTCGAGGCCCGGGGCGGGGCCCTCCTCTGGAACGCCTCTCGAGCACCTTCGCCCTCCGGCGCCGGCCTGCCGAGAACGCCTCGTGGCGCGCTCTGGGGGGGGGGGGCCCTCGCCCTCTGGCGTGTCCTCGCCCGCGGCACGACGCTCTGGAGCCCCCAAGGCGGTGCGGTTACAACGCCGTGCGGTGAGTCAGCGGGGGTTCGGGGTGACTGCACGGATCTGGGATCCGGGTCGTGCTCCGAGGATGTCTCGGGCGAGTGGGGCCTCAAGGGTCCCAAATTGTGCGGTGACGCACCGTGTTGTGAGGTCGTTTAGGGGATTCCGAGATCACCGCTTCGGGACGCCCAATTTCAGAGGGTGGCCAGCGGGAGACCCCGCGGCGAGGTTTGCCCGGAGGGCTGGCTGGGATCGGATCAGTGATCATGTCAGGGCGTTGGTCGAAGTTCCGGTTGACATAAATCAACTCGAATTACCGCGGTCGGCGATTCGGGGGAATGCGCAGGTTTCGGCCAGATCTAGGGCTGCAGAGGGACCCGAGACTCTCGTGTTCCCCGCGTTCGCCCTTGCGAGCAACCCCGACTTCGAGAAGTTCTGCCTGCGCGCGTGAATCTGCCAACAAGTGTGCTTGCAGTCAAGACGCTGGAGGAAGGTACAGCTCAGATCAGTTCGGGTTCGGAATGGGATCGCTGGTCCTTAGGTCCGTCCACCGGTGTTCCTCCAGCGGTCCTCAAGCCATCTTTGATCCCATCTACGCAGGGCAATACGAGACCGTCTTGGAGACGTGCTTCCGAATATCGGGCGCCCTACCCCCTCGCGAACCACCCCTTCTTCCAGACCCAGGGGAAGGTGTGGGACGATGGGCCACGCAACCCACAAGCCGCATTCAGTGTCGCTCACGCCCACCCGCCCTCCCAACACGCACAGTCAGCGTCCGAGGCTCAGCATGGGCAGGGGCCGCCATCGACAGCCCTCGGGGAACCCCTGCGGACGCCGGCCAGGTGCGCGACGCCCGTGGAATGGGCCGCGCGTGCCAGGGCACCCCCGCCGTACCGGTCAAACAACAGTGCAAAGTGATCGCGGGGTGCCCGCGCTTGCTCCACTTGTTCGTGTCACAGCGCGTGCTTTGCACTCGTTTTTAAGACAGGGGTTAAGTCGGGCCTGTCCCTCTACAGGGGGAGCATTCTAAAATAGCGAAAAAATAGTATGGGGACGATGTTTGGAGTATTTTGGGGGCATTTGTTTGTTAAAATATTTGTTGTTGCTGTTTTTTCTAATCCAAAATCCCCCTGTAGGGGGCCCGACCTAAGAAAGGGGTGGTGGGCCTGCGCACGCCAGGCAATATGATGACCGCTGCCGCCCCTGTCAACAAAAACAACGTACGTCAAGCGATCGCGGGGCGCCCGATCATGGCACCGATTCTGCCACCAACGGGCGTTGTCCATTGTTTATTGACGGATGGCGGGGCCGGCAGAGTGGGGGAGGGGATCTATATCAGTAAGGAGCAGCGAGGACCCCTTCCCGAAGGGGAAGGAGTGTGTCGGAAGAACGAACTCGTGAAGCCACCTACGCCCAGAGGGCCGGTAGAATTCTGGGCCATTGATTGTCCAGCCGCGTTGCCCAGTGGTGGCAGCAGTAACACAAGCGCAAGCAACGGTTGCAGATAGGCAGTTCGGGCAATTGAGATTTGGCGAGGGTATGGTCAGATGCAAGTGGCACTTTGACCCTTGTGCTTGGTTCGGGCGACTCTCGTTCGCTCCCACACCAAAGCTTGCCGAGGCGCTGGCGTGCAGGCAGGCGTTGAAGGAGGCGCCGTCTATTTCGCCAACTTGCACATCGGTGCCAACCAAATGCTACCAGCGCCGCCCTTACACTGAAGCCGTCCGATGGTATGGAAAGTGTTTGCACAGAGTCGCTCATGCGCGCATGCATAGCACACGCTTGTTCGGCCGAGGCATGAAGTCTATCACATATGCAGGACGAGTGCTTAGAGTCTGGAAGTGCTTGTAATGCCACGACTCCCTTTCTTCATCGGCAGACAGGTAGGGTTGCCCACACATCTTTTGATCAAACAACCTCGAATTTATGGCATCATTGGGAGATCAACCTGCTGTCGAGGCCCATCGTAGATGCAGTGGGAGTTCTTCCAAACGGTCGCAGCAGGAGGAGAGGGCGGATAAAGGTCATTCGATGATTGCTCCTCTAGCGCACTTCGTTCACCCAGGCACGTTTGAGGCCGAAAAGGGGCCCCGCGCCTTATTCAGCGCTCCTTGTGGTTGCATAGGGCGACACGATAAGCATGAGCAGGGTGTGGGCCAAGGCTCCGCCCTCCGGTCGGGCAGTGGCCGTGACGGACCTCAGCCCGATCGCCGAAGGACACGCCGTCGTTGTGCCCCGGAGGCGCGCGGCGGCCTGAGAGAGAGAGAGGGCTAGAGGGAAATGGCCCGGCGGCGGGGGTGACAGATGACAAACACTTGGCATCGCTCGAACGTGTGCATTTTTTCTCGGCGAGGACCATCGAGGATTATTTTGCTCACCTTGGGAAAAAAATGCACGCACGAAACCGAAAATGCACAGGGAATGGACGTCCGAGCGATGGCGAGAACAGCGAATGCCTTTCGGAGGGTCTCGACGTGGCGCGTTCCAGACAGAGGCTCGCCTTTGGGGGGTCGAGAGGTTGGCATGTCCTCCTCGTTGGAAGGCAACGAGCAACGAAAGGCGGTGGAAGACGGGCGTTAAGGCGGCGGCAGTAGAACGAGGGCGGCTCCGCCAGTGGAAGGCCCGCAGCAGCCGGCGGAAGTACAAGGTGCGCTCCCAAGAGGTGTAAATCTGTTGTTTTTTTCCGTTGCCATTTTGGCTGCAGCACCTTGCTGAGTAGAGTTTTCCTCAATGGCTAGGACTCAGAACGTTGTGACCAGGAACCCCGCAACTTGGATTCTCTGCCGACCTTGAGCGCGTAGCAGATCAGGGTGTGTCTGTTTTCATGCAGCATGCATGTTTTCGTTCGATGCCGTTCGCGATATCCAGAATGTTGTTTTTTTTGGCACTTCATTCTGGGCCCCAAATTGGGCTGGAGAGCGCCGAAGATAAGAAGCAGTGCCCGTTGACAGTTGTCACATTGGGTGCTTTAGTCGACGACATGCCCTGCACTCTGAATTTTGAACTGCACAGGTTAGTAACTTTACGATTCCTAGACATGGAACCGTTTGCACACATTCGTCATCGTAAGCACCTGATGATGATCGACGGCGCGCCAAAACACCGTCACGAGCAGGACAAGTTCACGACTGGGAAACGTAATGTCGAGTATTTGCGTGAGAACGATGCCAGATTCGAGTCGGTGGAGATCGTTTACATGGGCCGAAGCAGGACGTGCGTTCCAACCATGTTCAAAACAGCTTTAGGCATAACGGCCACTCCATTCGTTATGTTGCAGCAGTTTGATCGGGCTTCTACCCGTGACGTGCCTTTGGGTAAGGTGTTGCGGTACATGATGAGCCATCCCATATTTGATCATTTGAGATGGGGAGCGGCAAGAGTTCGTTGGGGATTTAGGGGGCGTGGAGATCCAGACTTCGACTTCCCAGCAACGCGGGCAATCTCATACATTGGCGACCATACGAATCTGGCATTTAACACGTATCAAGATTCTGCTTCTTGGGAGATTATGAGTAGATTACGGCGCATCTGAGACCCACCAGAGGATTTGTTAACTCGCATGTCTGTGAAACGTGAGTAGGTTAGCTCCGACATCATCAACCCCACCAAGTGGGATAAATGATGCGGACGAAGACCCCCCGCAAATGTTACTTAAGACTGGGGTTTTCTGAGACACAAATTTTGGTGTCACCTCCGAGCGCCCGGGGGCCAAACGCAAAAACATAGGTGTCTGGCTTCCCCGCCGGAGCAAATATATCGCACCCGAATTCACAGAAACACGCGCACGGGTCTCAGCCCGGTCGCGTCCGCACGGGTCTCGACCCAGTGCGAACACGTGCACGCATGCGGTTCCGTGACGGGAGCCGTTTGGCTGAAGCCTTGAGCTTAGAGCTACGCCTCGAGCGAGGGAGAAATATATTATCCTTCTACTTCCGTTCCCATCCATTTCTTACACCGCCACCCCCATAAAGCGGATTCTTGCGAGACGCCTCTCCGATGGAGGGTCCGCTCATGATGGTGGACACAGTAGGGACCGCACCTTTGGAGTGGTCGCGGTCCCCATCGAGCATGGTGATGCTGGCGCCGCGCAGGGGGCGTTGACGAACGTCGGCGTCACCCAGAGCGTCGTGGACTTGGAGCTCTCAGGGCCCATTCGACAGCGCGGGCCGTTGTCCATAACGCCGCGGGGACAGAGTCCGATGGAGCGTCGACGCATCGCCGACGTGCTACGCCAAGGGCATCGACAACTCCACAATGATTACCAGGCCTTGGAGGCCCAACAACAACGACACGCACGCACAGCTCAGTGCATATCTGACGGCGCCCAGGTTTTGTGGGACTACCGCCAGGCGCTCTTCGCCGAGTCGGGCGTGGTCACGTCCAGGCTCCAGCGGCGCGAGGCGCAGGCGCACTTCCACTTGGGAGCGCAGGAGCGCGGATATCCAGAACGGCACCGACGCGCTGCATCACGAGGATCAGTACATCCGCGACGTGGTCCAGCAGGCGCACGCACGGATGGTGAGCGCACAGCGCGCCGCAAAGCAGTCGACCCACCGCCTCGGCGCAGCGGAGGCGCACGCGGACACCGCGCACGGCGAATTGCACAAGAGGGCCGCGGAGCTTTCCGTAGAAAACCAGGCACTCGCTGAAGAGAACCGCGTTCTGACACAGCGCTGCCAGCACGGCGGCCGGGAGTGGGCGGCGCTCGAGGACAGTGCCAGACAGCGCAGGGCCTCAGAGGAGGCGGAGTTCACCCAGCTTCGCCAGCGCCTGCACGAGCCAGAACACACCCACACGATAACCACGGTTGCTGAGAGCCGCTTGGAGGAACGCCTGCTCAACGCCACCGCGATGGTCGACGCCGCGCGGCATCGCGACACATGGTCGAGCGAATAGCTTGCCCAAGCCAGACAATGCCTCCGCCACCAGTCGGCAGCCGCCAGCGACAGCAACGTGACCCTTCGGGATGAGCTCCGACGGGCGCACGACGAGTGCTGCGACGAGCAAGCCGCGAAGTGGGAAGCCGAGGATAAGGCGACCAACGCGGAGGCCGAGGCGACGACCTTGATGGATGAGCTTCCCCAGGCCCACAACGAGCTCCCCCGCGGCGGCGACGACCACGGCGACGGCAGCGACCACGTGGGCGCGGGCGCTGTGCCGGAGCAGCGCGTGCCAGAACAGCCCGTTGACTTCGTGCCAACGCTGCCCGCAGGGGTCCCAGGCGACGCTGGGGCCCATGACACCCTTCGGGCTCTATGAGCAGCGACTGCCGCGCTAACACAGAACCAAGCTGCCAATAACGACAAGAAAGCCAGTCTCCTCAAGATGCTGAACGACAAAGCTTACGAGGAGAAGCTTAACCTGAGGCAGGAGAAGCCGAAACTGACAGCAGCCAACGCGGACACCTGCCGCGAGGAGCTGAAGAACCTCCGCTCGATGATGATCCAAGCGCAGATCGAGTCCAAAGACCGATGGATGAAGCCAGTCAGGGCGGTTGCGTCTGGTAGAGCGTTAACCGTTCTCAACTACGTCATTGCCGCCAAGATCGGCGCGGACATCGACTGCGTTCAACGACTCCAGGGCGACCCCGGATCTCCCATCTGGGAGAAGGTTTGAGACGCCTTCGAATCGCGCTTGCGGGCGTCGGTGCACTTGGAGAACACGACTGACCTGGGCAATGCCCTCAGCAAGACTGCCGACGCGAAAGCTACCCTGAGCTTCGTTGAGCACCCAGGCACGCACTCTGATGCTGGAACAGGGCCTGGTATCCAACACAGACCCGGTCAAGATCGCCGGGGAAATTGAAGACTTCAAACAGAAGATCGCTGGCACGGCCATCAACGCCCGCCTCCGCGACCTACCGGACTTGCCGACGAAGGTCGATTCCGACGACCCCAGCGAGATCACCTTCACCGGCCGCATCTACCAGTGGTGGAAGGGTCGCGTCTTCCACTCGCTGCCCACCGCCAGCGTCGGCGAGGGGGGCGGGCTGCTCACGCTGACCGCGAAGGCGAAGGCAAAGGCCCAAACCGTTGCCAAGAAGCTGCAGGAGAGTTCACTGACCGTCGACGCTGCCAAGCAGCGGCCCCGGGCAGCCAGGGGCGCCAAGGGCGGCGACAATGGCGGGCGCCAGCAGCGGCAAGGCAACGAGGGCAAGCGGGGCCCGCAGTGCGCAACGCGCAAGGGTAACCACGGCAGCGGCAAGATTTGCCCCAACGGAATGGCCAAGATGGGCAAGAACGTCGACGATCTTACCGAAAAAGACATCAAGTATGGGCGCAAGCATGCCGAGAAGCACGCGCGCTGCAACGGCGTCGGACACCTAGCCAAGCATCGCAAAGCACGGGCTCAAGGAATGAAAGCGTCAAGGGGCGGATGAAAAGAAGGACAGGAAGGTAAAGGATAAGGGGGAAAAGGAGGCGGTGGCAAGGGCGCCAAAGGCAGGCGCGGGTCTCTCAACGTCCTTGACGAGACGGGGAACCACGTGGGGGCCCCAGAGATCGACTTCGAGGCGACCCGCGCGTCGATGACCGAGGCAGCTGCTGAGCTTCTCAAGCTGCCCCCCTTCATGGAAGTCAACCCTGCGGACCCTGTGGGCCCCATCCAGTACGCCAAGTTCGACTTCGATGCTGCCGCGGCGCCCATCCAGCCACGACTAGACGCTGGAACGACTGCGGTCATCCAGGGCATCACGGACCGGCCGCTGAAGAGCGTCTTTTTGCACTTGCGCCGCGCGCCTGGGAAGCAGGGCTTCCCATTGTGCGCAACTTCTCCAGGCGGCGTCGCCTTCGAGTGCGAAAGCTCGCCGCGAGCGCAGCGCCTTCCACGGCAGTGGGGGCGTCGCACCATCGAAGGTTTGCGACTCGAGTTCGCGTCGTCCAAGCACTGGGATAACTTGCTCATCCTTTTCCCCGAGCGCCCAGAGGGCGCGCCCATCGAACTGGAGGTCGAGGAGACCTTGATCCCGGCGCCGCCGAACTTCCGCCTGAACTCCGCCATCTCCGCCGAGATGCCTTCGACGTTGCGAGCCGTTCCTGGGCCAGGGGCGCAGCCAGATCCGCCCGCTCCTGCCGCTGGTGGCGTTCGCGACGATGACGCCCCTCCTGGCGACGCTCCGCCACGCGACGCACCTTCTGGCGATGACGTTCGCCCTGACTGGTCACCCATCCTGACAGACTACTCCGACGACGGCGGGCGGCCCGACGACGACGGACTTCGAGAAGAGGACGACGTCGACGACCCCCCAATGCTGCCCACCAGCAGCCAGGCAAATCCAGCCAAGCAACCTGAGAGCAGACGTGGAAGAAAACGAGGCCACGCGCAGCAAGGCGGGCGTCGGGCCACTCGGGGGGCCGTCGAGCGCGTCTCACCAGCGAGGCCACGCGCACTCCGCGAACCAGATAGCGATGCTGGAGACCAGGGGGGTCACGAACCACGAGGGGAATGGCGTGAACACTGGCACGCCGGCGTACTCGAGTCCGCACGGGCCACAACCTTGCGCGAGCGGAGTGCCACGAATTTCACGATGCCCAGGCCGTCGCCCGTCGAGGAGGGCCTCTCCGAGATGCCACTCGCGAGAATTATTGCAGCAACTTTGGGAGGTCGGCGGCGCCGCGTTCGCAGGTCTCTCGCTGCTGACCCTGATTTTCTCATTGGCGGTCGGCCTCGAGGGGTCGACGTTCGGTCAGGGGCGCCTGGTCCAGGTCGCCGAACGCCACAAGCTCACCCACGAGTTCAGGAAGGCCCTCAACAGGAACCATGTTGCTGCTCTTCAGTTCGCGCCGCCTCCTGATGGGGTACAACTGCAAGGCACATGTATGGATTTGGGCGGCACGTACACTAGCAGTTTGGGATACAGGGACATGTAGGAATGGCATAAACGATAAATACTTACGAGCATTATTACATGAACCACGGTCTGCTTGTGCTGTCGAGGAGATCATCGACATCGCTCCGACGGAGTGCGTCGTCGCTTTCAGCGAAACCACGAAGGTCGTAAACAAGGTCGCGAAGCTGCGCGTCAATCAAGGAGCACAGCGGCGGCTCGCAGGTCCAGGATGCCATTGCCGCCCTCGTCCTCCCCGTGTGCCAGGATAACCTCATCATAGGTAAGCCCACGTTGGGCCGCTGGGGCTTCGTGAGCACCAAGGAGGCCATCGACCTCCGCACCCTTGGCATCGGTTCCCCTACAATTCTCCCTGAGAGCGGAGGGCGCCGAGTTCCTCAACCTCACTTGCCGGCATTCCTTCGAGCCGGCCCCAGGTTAGACCGTTTTCCGCAGCGCCCAAGGGCAGCTTCCTCAAGACAACCCTGCACTGGCCAAGGCCGGACAGCAGTATGATCCAACACATTGGGTTGTCCCTGGACTTGCATGTCCAGAATCTTGCCAGGTTGTTTGGGGGCCTCTGATCGTAGATGCCAAAGGGAATGTCAATGTGGATATGCTGGTGCACGGGCCCACGCGTCTCGGCTCTGGCCTGGAGTTGTTGCAGCTCCGTGAGATCACAGCGCGCGACAAAACCGTCCTAGCAGCACTTGGACGGGCAAAACGACAGCAGACTGAGACGAGCGTGGCACTCGCCGACGCGATGATGGAGGCGAACCTCACCCTCGAGCACCAACTGACCTCTTCGTCTCCGGAGGCGAGTCCACCCCAGCCGCCCTCTCCGGAGGCCGGCCCGACGGCTGCCCATGAGCGACCGGGTCTTAACCCGGCTTCGCACGACAGCCGAGATGAATCTGCGTCGACATCAACGGCAACGCAGCGCATGCAGTTCTACACAGCGTCGCACAAGACCAAAGGTAAGAAACAACGACAGATCAAGTCTTTCCCAGAGCTCCAGAAGGATATCAAAGAGGCCTGGGAGCAGATGGCGAACGAGACGTGCATCGACCAGAACAGCAAGGAGCACGCAGACAATTGCAGGAGGATCGCTGACGCCAACATGGGGCCCCGACTGCAGGGGAAACACAGATCCAGCTTCTTGAAAAACGTCGCGCGTGCCTTTTGCCGCTTCTTTGCGGCTCGACGGCTGCCCTGCTCCGCAGGCGAAGGGATGCCAAGCCCACCTTCACCTGAAGCCCGACGCGCGGGCGAAGGCCATCCAGCCCTTCCCGCTGGGCGAGCCCGACAGGATGCGCTTGGGGCACCACGAAAACCTGGAGGTGGCACTGGGCAAGGCCATGCGCCCGGCGACGCCTGCAACTGGGGCGCCCCAAGCTTCGTCGCCGACCCGGCGGGCAAGGGGCTCCTCGGCCGCCCCGTCCGCGACTACCGATGGCTGAATAGCCAGACGCTGGACGAGGCATGGCCAGCGCCAGAGGCAGAGGAAACGTTGCGACGGGCTCAGCGAGCTTCGTTGATCGCACTCCTCGATTGCGCGCGGGTCTACACCCAGTGCCCGATCGACGAGGTCTTTTCCTATTTAATGAGCTTGGTCACCAAGCGTGGGATCCGCAAGCCTCTGGTGCTGTGTCTTGGTTGCAAGCAGGGGCCAGGGGCATTCCAACGACTGATGGATTCCACCTTCGGGCAGCTCAGGGACAGCGACGATGAGCAGTTCCACGCCATCTTCATCGACGACTGCTCGACCATGACGGAAATGTACCCCGGGGACACCGAGGACGACCTAGCAGCACGACACCAGGAGCACTGCATTCTATTATTATCTGCCGCGCAGACCCGCAACATCCAGTTCAAGATGACCAAGTGTCGTTGGGCATACGTATACCATTACTGGGCTTCGTTGTGGGGGATGGGGCGCGGTCTGTCGATGAGGACAAATTTACACAACTACGTAATTTGCCTGACCCCACGAGCACTGGTGATATCGTATATGTTCGTGCACTTGCCAATTATTTACGGGGGTATATACCAGATTTTCCAGGGCTCGATGCAGGATTGAAGAAGCACGCGAAGAAGGGAGCTTGTTTCAGCGACTACGCCAACGACGCGGCTGCCCAGAGGTCCTTCGAGTCTTTACGGACGGCTCTCACGAAGGATGCACGTTCGCATGCACCTGAGTTCGCCGCCGCCGCGAAGGGCAAGGCAGGCGGGCGTCCCTTCGAGCTCTTCGTAGATGCCATGGAGCACGGCTGGGGCTGCTCGCTGGGCCAGCGGCCCGCCGCAGAAAAGGCGCCTCGACCTATCGCTGCACATTCCCGCTCATTCACTCCGACAGAGCAGGCATGGGGCGCATTTCAACGTGAAGTTTACGGCCCACGAGAATCACTAGCAGCAGTGTGGTCATTGATCAACGGGTTCCCTGTTATTGTTTGGATCCTCGCAATAATTTGTTTACCAGTTCTTTACTCAATTGCAGAAGGATCAACAAGAAGCTCCTACGATGGGCTCTCGACCTCGAGGGCCTCACTTCTCGACCTCGAGGGCCTCACTGGTCTGGTCGAACGACGGTGTTTGGCAGAAACAGCGAACATTTTGGGAGACGCTCCGTCTCGCAACCCGCCAGACCGGGATCACGTTCGAGCGCTCGCGACGCTGGCTGGCCCGGTCAAGCGAATTGCGAGGGCGATGTTCTCCTCCCCCGACTCCCTCGACGACGAGATGGAGTCTTTCCCGCAGTCCTTGGGCGTCGACATGACCAAGGGCTCCACCAACCAGCTCCAGCAGCATTTTGGGGGCACGGGTCTCGACCAAGTGCCGCCAGAAACGCGCCTGCGACGCGACGACGCTGAGCGGGCCATCGACGACGACGATCCCACCATGACGAACGCTCGGCACACTGCCGGCGATGAGTTGGGCTTCCAGGCGATCGCCAAACGGGCCGACGAGATGCTCGAGGCCCGGGAGTCGCCCTCAGCAGTGCCGACACCAATCGACGAGGACCTTGCGAACGCTAGTCCATCCCACAGTGGCGGTTGAAGCGACCGCCCCAAGTCCAGCCGTCTAGAGCGCGCTGGCGCACCGACGACTGTCCGGTCAAGCGGCGACGACAGCCCAGACCAAGGAGCACCACCTTCAAGCGAGGCAGCTCCTCCACAGGGCATTCCGAAGACCATCCAGCCAAGCCCGCTACGGCAAGGTGGTGGCGATCGAGCTGCGCGTTCCAGCGACGATGTCAGCTCTCCGGCGACGCCTGTCTCTCATGGGGAAGTTTCGGCCGAGAGCAAGTCCCGGACGCCGCTGACGCTTTCCAGTTCGACCAAATTTTCCGCTCCAGTCGGCGCGTTGGAGTGGGCCGACGACGCGCGCGAGGCGGGGGAGGCGCGGCGCGCGCAGCTGCATCCTCCGAGTCAAGAGCGCCCTCAACACACAGAGCTCTCTTCTGAGTTCCTGCTCGTGGAGAAGAGAGGAGGGCACGGCGATCCGCCCGGGTGCCTTCAGGACGTCGCAGTGGGACGGCATGTGCCCGAGCTTCCCGCTGACGCAGTTTCTGCCCTACTCGGTAGGAGGGTCTTCGAGCTCAAGCGGCCCGGCGCGCCCTCCATCGCATCACGATAATCTTCCTCTTCTTCCGCCTCTTACCGAACGCTTCCAAGCTGAGCCTGTTGCGGGGGATTGCGAGGAAGACCTGCGACGTTCTACCGACTCGCATCTCTTATGTCCGGGGTTCGTTGAGTATTCCATTGAGGTGAGGTGTTTTGACGGACGACTACGCAATGCGATATGGCACAATTGCCGCAAGAAATCAATCAAGGAAGGTTCGGTCGCCCACGCCATGTCCCGCGCGAAGGCCAAGGGGCAGGCCTCGAAGCACGTCGAGAGGGTTCTCAACGACACCCAGCGGCTCGGGCGACGGTGATTCCAGAGTTCGGCCAAGGGGGCCTCCAGGACTCTGGCCACTACCGCCGCCGCGGCTTCGCTCACGAGGACTACTGCTTCATTGTTCACCCTCGCCATCCTGAGCTCAAGCGCAAAGGTTTGCGGGCTTCGAGGCCGGGGAGAGACGCCCTACTCCCGGGGGGGCTTTTCCGCATTATGGCTCGCAAAATCAGGGCGAGGGCCGACGGATCCGAAGTCTGGCAGCGCCCAGGCCGCGACGTGGGCTTCGCGGGCGCCGCGCCA